TCCTATGGTGATACTTATTCCCTGGGATGAAGCTATTTTACAGCTCTAAGAAGACCTGAGAGGATTAACACATTAACCTGGACACACTACAAGAAGTAGAATCATTGATTTTGAAACTACAAAGAGCCTTGGGGGAATCATCCAGCCCGTCACTATTTAACAGATAAGGAAACTGAGACTTAACAGCGTTCATCTAATTGTAAATATGCCCCCTGACACATGGTCTGAACCACCCTGTACTAAGCAGAGAACAAGGCCAGAATGGATGGCTGCTGAGCAGACAGGTTTTGATGAGGGAGAACAGAACACAGAGCATGGGACATGGCGCCCAAACAGGCCCTGAGTGGGCATCTTTAACAGGGAGGGCAGATGGAAAGCTGGGAGGATCTTCCTGGGCAAGGACCAATGTGCAAGAAGGGACAGACCAAGAGAATTCTTTCAGACTTACCCAAGAGCTTGGACTAAAGAATTCGTATGTTTTTACCTGAAGTCCCTGGATAGTTCAAAGGGTTAACGTGCTCAGACGCTAACCAAAACGTTAGAGGTTCAAGTCCACCCAGAGGCACCTTGCAAGAAAGGCATGGTGATCTACTCCCAAAAAATCATAGCCATTGAAAAACCCAATGGAGCACAATTCTACTCTGACTCACATGGGGTTGTCACCAGTCAGGGGACATCTATAGTGTTAAGGTCAAAAATACATGACACGATACTTACTGCTGTGCCCATGGGGTACTTACAAAGAGCAAATGCTTCATGTTTCACTTTAGCATGTTATTACTATAATGCGATATATACCTGATAGGAGCTAAACTGGGGGGATAGGTGTGGCTCCCTGTCCCTTCCCTTTTCATGCAAAAAGTCTACTTAGCCAAAGGTCATGTTGCAAACTTCAATAAATCTTTAATCCTTGCCTAGAGTTATACACTCCAACTTTTCTAAGTTGAAGGGTTAAAAAGGAGATACAATATTTCTCACAGATCCTCGGCAGGATCAAAACAAGACATCTGAATGGATTTTGGTTTAGACTCCTCTTCTTAAATGAAACCATATCATCACAATGCAATGCTGCTACTTACTGTCTGGGGAAGTTCATCCCTTATGCATGTTAAAAACAAACAACGCACCAAGTTTCTTTCATGTTCTAGCTCATGGGATTCAGTCGAGCATAGAGAGAGGTAAGCAGAATATAACAAAACAGAATGAAAACATAACAAAAGGAACATCAGATAAGAATTCCACCCCTACTTACAGGTATTGGGGAGGCAAAAAAAAAAAAAAAAGGCAGAATAAGAATGAGTTACCTAAAGAAGAGTCATTCACGCTGTAAGGGCTCTGGGGGCTGAAGAAACAGAAGAGCAGAAGGAGGATTATCTAGAATCACAGATCGGTAGACATATGAGGCTTTGTTTTCAGAATCCAAAGCCCCAGTTTTCTTTGGTGAGTCAGAGCAGCCTGAAATCACCATGGACTGGTATCCCCAAGTCCATAAAAGAACCACTGCTGCCACCTCCTGCTCTCCTTTGGTACTGCTGCCAAAGGAAATCTGCCCTCTGAGCACTTCCTATGGGAACAGTACTTAATTCATCATTTCTTTGCAGAAGGGATTCTGACTTCAGTTTTAATAAAACACAGGGAACTTGCACCTCAACTCTAGACATTAACAGTGCACAAAAAGAAACCTAGAAACCAATCTTTTAAAAACAGGATTGTGGGTTTGTGTTGTTTTTCAAAACTGAAGTCATTTCTGTCCTGCAGGTGTAATTAGGACAGCACTCATGAACATGGACAGAGAAGCCAAGGAATACTATGAAGTTATTATCCAAGCCAAGGACATGGGAGGGCAGCTGGGAGGATTGGCTGGGACCACAACAGTCAACATCACCCTCTCAGATGTCAACGACAACCCACCGCGCTTTGCTCAGAGTAAGTACCTAACCAATGAGCTACAGATCTCAACTAGAGGGACACTCTTGTGACTGCAGCCAAAGAGAAAGGCCAGTCTGATTCCTCATTAAGTTCAATTATTCACGGATTCCTTCCCTACATTTATCATGCAATTCCCTGGTAACCAAATCTCTTCTGAGCCCCAAAGTGAACCAGTGTTTTTCATACTTTTTTTTTTCTTTTCATTACCACCTCCCTATGGAGCCTTTCTGGAGTCCCTGAGTCGTGCAAATGGTTAACACACTTACCAGCTAACCAAAAGATTGGAGGTTCAAGTCCACCCAGAGGTGGCTTAAAAGAAAGACCTGGTGATCTACTTCCAAAAGATCAAAGCCATTAAAAACCCTCTGGTGCACAGTTCTACTCTTAACACACATGGGGTTGCTATGGATCAGAATCAACTTCGTGGCAACTGTTAGGCAGAGGTGTAACTAAGGTATAGCACAGGTAGGGCATGTGCCCTGGGTGCACCGCTTGAGGCCAGGCACCAATGAGAAGTTTCTGCTGGCCATCAGTTTGTATCATCAGCGGTGAGAGACCATCCAGCAATTTAACACTAATTGTCCTAGGTGCTATTATCCAGAAATAGGCCCCTGCTAGTGTTGGGAGCCATTTTAGATATTTTTTTCCTAAAATATCCTCCTACTCCCTCCCCCAAAAATTACATACTAAGGAATAAGGTTTTGTTGAAGAGGCTAAATTTTAGAGGGCCACAAACCAATGTAATCGATAAGATTTTTTCACTCCCTCTAAGAACCAATGTTTGCCCCCTTAGGGGCAGTATCATCCCCGTTGATAATGCATACACTAAAACTAAGCCAAAGCTGTAGATAAACATACAGGCATACCTCATTTTATTGTGTACTTCATGTTATTGCACTTTGCAGATACTGTGTTTTTTACAAATTGAAAGTTTGCGACAACCCTGTGTTGAGCAAGTCTATCAGCTCCATTTTTCCAACAGCGTGTGCTTACCTTGTGTCTCTGTCACAATTTGGTAATTCTCGAAATATTTCAAACTTTTTCATTATTGTCATTATCTGTTATAGTGATCTGTGATCAGTGATCTTTGATGTTACTATTGTAATTGTTCTGGAGCTCCATGAACCATGCCCATATAACACGGCAAACTTAACAAATGCTGTGTGTGTTCTGACTGTTCCACTGA